GTTTCTTAATGGGTACGTTCGTGTAGCTGCGTAACGTACAGAACCCAGAATACCATGGCGTGGAAGGGCGTGCCCTCACACTTCTAGAGGGCAGCGATCGTCCCCTCAATCGATCTTTACTCAGCAGTTTTCAGCCTTTCTGCTGTGCCGAAGCTACATGAGTCCGTGACTGGGGTAACTAAGGCCACTGCACTACCGCGGGGCAATAGGATCTAAATGAGGACGTCTCTTCAAATGACTTGCGAAAGAAACAGTTGTTTCCAAAAAAGCTTCGAATATGAGAAAAGGCGTCCTTTAAGACAACTGTGAACTGTGAAAGGAAGAAACGCTAGCGGTTTACCTGTGGAGCCAGAATTCGTAATAAACTTTCAGTACTTCAGCCTGGCCTTTGATTTCGTGCATGTTCATCCAATCTAAAAACAGACATTTACCCTAGTTATATCGTAAGATTAACGGCTCAAGTAAGTACAAGTGAATGGAAGACGTACATTCGAATCTATTCAGCGTTTCGGCGATCACATCTTCAATAGCGAATCTCATGGAGCTTCCTTCCGGAACCATGTCATTAAGGCAAACCGTGGGCTGTGAATTACTCACATTGATACCAGCACCTAAAGATCACAGTAATCAATAATGTAAGATTTTTGATTTCTGATGAATAGTTCTGCTCACCAATAGATATTAGTAACCCATCATCTCGGAATCTTGCGGCAGCTAGTAGTCCTCCAACTTTATGTGATCTATTGAAGTAGAAATCATTTGGCCATTTGATTCGCAGAGGGAAAATCCTATAAAACGTCTGTATTTCAAACTTGTAATATCGAATGCATTAATGAAGAAATCTTACATCTAATCCACTCAACCGTCGGACAGCATCAACTAAAGCGACTGCGAAGATATGTTGCACAAATGAAGGAGTTTTAGCAAGAGATGAGGACTGAGGAAGGTAAGTGGAGACGGTGAACATGGCCGCTCCAACTGGAGACACGAACTCATTTCCACCTCGACCTTAACATCACTATTTCAGCTGGGACGGCATGATCTAAGCTATGCAAAGCTGAGCTGAGAAAAAAAAACAGATTAGACTTGTAGAACTCCACCTTTTCCTTGAGTCTGACGACCAGCAACGACCACCGCACCATCACAAGTGGGAATAGCGTCACAAAAGGCTAATCAGAAAATGTAATTAGAATAATAAGATAGAATCAATAACTGTTATGAACTGTACCTATTGCATTATATCATTGTAGTGGTAGCAACAGGAACATAAACTATGACTCGACCTAAATTTCGTGTACGAAGGCGGGAGAAAATAACAGCGAGAAATCGAAACCAACATCAGCCCGATCAGTGTTTCTGAAAATTAGCATTTGACAATTAGTATAGCGACAAGGTAAGAGCCAGAAATTTGAAGAGTTAGCATGAGAAGAACCTTTCAAGCTCACCGCTACAACAATTCTTCATCTTAGCACCATAGAAAATGAAAATTCAATCGTGGTATTGAAGAACGGGAGAAATCATCACCTAGACAAGACTTCGATGGGAAGAAGAGTTTCGCTAACGTCAGGCATGCCTTGCTCAGCCACTTTTTCTGTCTTCCGGAGGAACAGCTTAGGTATCTGTCCAACTTCCTCCCCATAACGCACTCCCTAAAACACTCCTATTCAGAGGAAGCGGAAACATATGTAAGATCTATTATCTTACCATCATATTCTCGATGACATCATCTTCAATGGCCATCATAATCCCCGGAGTAAGTGACGGAGGAGTGCATTCAGTAATATTTACACCAACACGAGAAAGCGAATCGCCCAATATTCGGCTACCTATGAATTAAGATAATACAAATACCGAATGAAATACAAGAATCGTGTCGTAAACGCACCTGCGAATGCAATTGCTCAGTACAGTCGCGTCGGAGAATTTATCCCGATATGAAGCGCTTGATGAGCACTATTGGTTCCATTGAATAATGGAACAAAGCATATATACAAACGAAGGATGCGTTGGATAAGTAAACGAGAAAATCATAAAGGCTTCTGCCGATTGGAGTAGAACAAACGTTTTGACTTTGAGTCCAGCACGACAGATAGTGTCATTTCACAGAAAATCTGGTAGAATGAAAAAAGTTGGCGTTCACCTCCTAATGCTTTTTTGAAAGAATAATAGAGTTGCGATAATATGCGTTGGGAAACGGTTAGATGCAGCTACGGGGCCTTGCTTGGGACAGTGTGTTTATAAGAGAATTTCTTAAGAAAAATGACTTTCGAAATCTGCTTTCCCCGATAGATAGTGCTATCCGAAGATCAAATGCCATCCTAATCACATCGGCCTGGAGATGGACTAATTGTAAGAGAAAAAAATGTGCAGAAGAAAAAAGGGCTGACTCAAAATAAATCATTATGAATCTCAAATATTAGGTGGTGTACCTTCAAAAAAATTTAGAATACCTGTTTTTTAGTCGATCCGCATGTAGTTAAACTCGCCAGTAAGCGATTTTGACAAACAAATATGATTTTGCCAGCCTATCAACACAGTATATTAAGTATTAATAAAACATACAGCAATTATAAGCGGGCACAGTTCAGATACCTGGTTAAAATATAGCTGCATGTTAGACCAAGAATGATCATCCAGTTCGCTTGTGTCAGCTACAATTAAGCAGGCCTTAAATATATCATATTATAACAGAACAAATACAATGAAGACTAAAGAATTAGCACCTACCGTAGTTGGTTCTATCCATGGTTGCTTTTTCATCGCTTCTGCCGAAAGATGAAACACCGTGTAACGATCCGGCGATACTAGGCGAGATAACGAGCTCCTTATTCTTGAGTACAGCTCGTCATGGCCACCGGTGTAGACTAAGATCTGAGGAAAGCTCAATAGCGGAAGGCATGCCAAAACAAGACTAGCATCACCGCTGAAACAGAACCCTAACCCAAACATTTAAAAAGGATCGAAGGTGAAGGTCAACAGCCTGAGAGTACATATAACCCCTCCTTCCACCTCGACCCAGCAGTGAACGTCGAGCCTTCTACATCCACACTTGCATCCATTCAATGTTTGGTAATGAATCACTAAGGATCATTGAGGTACATTGATATAGTTTCTTATTCAGGCAATTTATTATCATTTTCCTATTCAACACACTCCGCGATACTTCAACTGCATTCAACTAGCTCAATCAACTCACCGATGGAGGTTTACTCATCGCTCTAAGTGAGCGATCACTGGTAGCGTGGAACTTTCCTTGTTGGCGTATAGGACCTACGGAATGAATCCCTTGCGAAAAACGATCGATCTGCAAAAAGTTCATAAAGCAACTTTTAGACAACTGAACTGACAATACTTGAAAACCACAACTCCTTGGATGCCTCATTTAACAATTATTTACTTATTCGGGACGCTGCTCAGGGCAGTCGTGGAGTTTCACCCAATGAAAAGGTGAGACGCAAGGGAGCATTCATAGTCTGTCGTCCAATCGTAATGATCGCACAGCATTGGATACGTATCAGATGTGATCGGACGATCGATACGTATCTAATGGCCGATGTCAGACTTTGCGATTGGAGCGATTTTGCACCAATTGCAGGAGCGACGGGAGATTTACCCGAGCGGCGCCGTGTGTATCGGTGGTCGGCGGTGTAAATCTCCCGTCGCTCCTGCAATTGGTGCAAAATCGCTCCAATCGCAAAGTCTGACATCGGCCAATGCTGCGCGATCGTTACGACCGGACGACGACTATGAATGCAATCCTGGGAGGAGACATTGAAGAATTTCTGTGGAATCAACACATTTTCGGTTTGTATAGCCATTGAACTCCCATAGGGAAAGTACCCTTCAAAAATTACACAAATTAAGATCGAGGAGGACAAAAAAAATGACGACGAGATGAGACTATTAGGAGATATGATAGAATATGCTAGCATTGAGGAGAAATAACTCAGATAGAAACCTTTTGAACAAAGTCAGGTTCCTTTTTGATTAGAGCAGAGATGAGATGTAAGTTACAAAAGAGTCCCACAGAAAAGTGAGGGCATGAGAGTAGGGAGAGGGTGAGGTGTGCTCGGCTAAAACGGCAAGAAAATACGTTCCAGGGCCAAGTCTGCGAGCTGTCAAGACCGTGAATGCGTGAGAGACAAATGGAGCTCATAAAAAAGGCACAGTTCCAACACTAGTAAGTCCAAGTAGCG